AGAATGCCGCGATCAACAACTAAAATGAATGAAAAATAATGATTCAGCTCAATGTCCGTCCCCCATGATATCATATAACATCACACTAGCAAGAAAATAGGGTTTCTGTTACATTTTTAAAACAAATATTATGCTAAAACTTGGGTAAGCATTTCTTCCCTATGAACGTAGTGCCACCAAACCGTATGGTTTTAAAACCGATTTATTTGATCAAAAAGGAAATTAAAAAAAAATCTAGAACCCTTGACCAAATGGTGTGCTATGGAGGACAACAATTCCTAAAACATAATTCCAGTAGCATCCCAAGTTGACGAAAAAAACCAAGCACAGGGAAGGAGCTCATGGCATCAGACAAATAGCTCACCAGTAGATAATTCTCCCATCAAGATTAAAAATATGAACTGACTGCCCCAGCGACTGCAGTATATTAGGGTAATGCCGATCCGAAAGCCCGACGCTGGCAGAGACCTCGCCGCCGCCACTTACCATGGATGAGGAGCTTGGCTCGCGGCTCTCCCTCTGCAACCGCGACAAGTGGCCAAAAGACGAAGACCCTCGGCCGGACACCGAAGCGCCGTGGTCGTATCCACCGCCCTGCCGCCGCGCCGCCGCCGAAGCGGTGGGAGACGTCCGCTGAGGCGAAACAGAGTGAGACCTCCGGCGCTCCCCCCCTCCGCCGCCAGGCAGCAGCTTAGACATCTCCTGCTTCAGCATCGCCTGTCCTGCTTCCAGCTCCTGCAGCTTCTTCAAAAACTCCTCTGCGGGGGCTTCCATTAGAAAACCCAAAACAGTGATTCCTTCACCTTCACAAGAGCCGTAGAAAACGGAGAGAGCTCATCGGTTAGGTTCCAGTCTTCCGGTTCAGATCTCCTTCCCACGCTTTCCACCTCTCTATCTCTCTCCTTTCGTTTTCCCCTTTCCCCTTTTTGATGTCCAGCTATAGATTCGTGGGCTCTTCAATCGTTATTGGTCTCCATCTCCTTTTATATTCTGAACTTCTCCATCTCTGCTCCAATTGTCGTTCAGTGCTCGCCCATGGAACCACATCATTCCCCACGGGAGAGGGCAGACTCTTAAAGATATAAAAATCCCCCATTTTCTCCTTACCAGCGTTTTTCTCATACTTAAAGATTATAAATTTATTATTTTTACTTATCATTGACATTTGAAAATGATGTGCCAGTTGATGACGTTATTACAAGATTCAATCTTTTCTTCTTTTTCAGTTAAACCAGTTTTAGTGTTTACTTTAGAGAAAAATATAGGCGCTTTATACTATTCTCGTGCTTTGTTAAAGCTTAGAAGTTTGCATGTTATATTTTATTTTTTTATTTACTAGGAGTAGGGTCGTAAACGAGCCGAGCTTGAGTGAGTTTAGATTGGGCTCGTGTTCAGCTCCTTCGAAATTATTAGTGTTTGAAATCGGCTAGTGTTCGAAATCGACTCGTGAACAGTATATTCGTGTTCGTATCGAAATTATCTCATTAAAATTAAATTGAAAAAATAGATGCAGCGTGCTGAATCTAGACCAAATGTATGCAAAACAAAGTGCATAACCACATTACTACAAGAGCAATTAAGATTTAAACTTAGATATAAATATATACAATATATTATCATATAAATAATAAATGTAATATATTATTATATAAGCAATTATATGTTTTTTTTTTTTCAAATTATAAACAAGCCGAACACGGGCGAGCAAATAGTTGTTCATGTTCGGCTCGTTTATAATTCGAGCTTTAAAAACTTGTTCGCATTCGACTTATTTACTTAACGAACGAGCCGACCACGAGCTACTTAACGTGCGGAACACGAGTTGTTCGTGAATAACGAGCTTTTTTGACGCCCTCATAGGAATAAATTTTACAATTTTATCCAAATTAAAATATATGTAACTTTACATTAAAGTTTGATGGCATAAATGATAGTAATTAGATTTGAATTGAATTTAGAAGTGATGAGTGACGTGGTGTAATGGTATGGTAAGAGATAAAATAAATCCAATTTTTACATGATGTGATGCCTAAATGTAAAGTAAGATGGAGATGTGATGGTTCATGACAAATCTTAAATCATAGTAATGTCATATCCATGATAACTATTGAATATATTTGAATCCATATAAAAATTTATGTCATTTGGCATTCATATAATATGTCACATGTCAACTTTTTAGTTTAGGTGTGTTGATGTAGTGCATATGAAGATGTTTGATAAAGTGTTGGCATTGATGTTTATAAATCATTTTTGGTCAACACTTTTGCTTGTCAAAAACTAATCTCTTCATCTCACCAAATGTTTAAGAAGATCAAGAGTTTATCATTTGATAGAAAGAACGAGCCACAATTTTACCTTATATTCAACCACGAGTTAATGTACAATATAGCACGATACTTTTAAAACAAGACTTCTTAATAAATAATAAACACTAAACACCAACTATTTTGACTTTGCATTAGCAATTGGTCAAACTAGCCTCCCCCTCTCATACAAAATTCAAAGAGTCAGACAATTATAAATTAACTTTGTAAGAATGAATATATTCCACAAAAAAGGGGGAATGATTGAATCATTAACAAAAAAGAATTGCATATGCTTTAAATAACTGTATTTCAACCTATTTAATGGCGGCATATTTCAAATTTTTTACAAGTGAACTTTTGCCCTCTTTTAACTTCAATTAGATTTTCTCTCGATATTTTTTCGACTCCATTAAACTTTTTTATGAAATATTATAAGTAATTTATTATAAATATTGTGGCATATAAATTGATATATATATATATATATATATGTGTGTGTGTGTGTGTGTGTGTGTGTGTGTGTGTGTGAACAGGATTTGATTATTTGATGAGATAATCTATTATTGATGGTAACTAATGGATCAATTATGAAACTTTATGTTATAATATGAAATTTAGATCAACCCTAATACTCAAGCACCATTATGTTATAATATGAAATCATATTATATACCTATTATAAATTAATTTTATCTTGCATAATTTCAAACTTTCTAAAGGAGATTTTTGAATTGAGAGTTGTGATGAAATTGAGCCATCCTTTCAACAGCTCTATCGAGGAGACCCACAAAAGCTATTAATAATTTCTTCACTATCATTCTTTATTAATTTTCTGAACCTACTCCTATTTCACGTACATTTTCACATTCAGCAAATTAATAATTAGAAAATTTTTATGGAGTTTAGTGCAAAACTACCACATCTCTTTCGGCTCAAGTGGACATGTGGCTTTTCTAACTTTCATTTCATTAGGTTTCCAAAGCAAGTGGTTCTGCACCCTTTTATTTTATTGGAAAGGAAAACATTGGATTTATTTTTCAATTGTTTTTGGCATGATCATACATTCATGTATTAGGCTTAAATCTTTTTATA